ATCAATGCCACCAGCTGGTTTGAGTTAGAGCCGCACAGGACAAAACACAGGAGAAAGTAAAAGGCAAAGCAAAATAAACCTCAACTTCAAAAATCAAACCATTGGAATAGCACCGCATCCTGAAATTTCTTTTTATATTTCAGGTAGAAGTTTAAAGTGATGAAGGGTAGAATTAGTGCTATAAGTGGGAAACTATTGAAAACTGTAACATAATTTATTAAATCTAGTTGTACTTCCTGTTAACAAAAGAGAACAAGTGCAAGTCACCCTGGAGGGAACCGCATGCCTCCAGTGGACGTCTCTTCTTCATGGAGACCAAGTTTTCTAGAAAGATTATCTGAGCAACAGGAAACATTGCTGAAGGAGAACCAAGGATATAGGCAGGATAAATGTAAACACTGTAAGAGAAATTTGAGGTGTTAAATTAGCACATTTTATTTATTTACTTATTTATTATTGGCTCTTAAAACTGAGTCTCAGCCAGGCATGGTGGCACATGCCTGTAATCCCAGCACTTGGGAGGCTGAGGCAGGAGGATCGCTGTGAGTTCGAGACCAGCCTGAGCTACATAGTGAGTTTCAGGTCAGTCTCAACTACACAGTGAGACCCTGTCTCAAAAAACAAACAAACAAAAAGACTGAGTCTCACCATATAGTCCAGGCTGACCTTAAATTTACTATGTAACCGAGGCTAGCCTGCCTCAGCCTCCCAAGTGCTGGGATTATAGGTGTGCACCACTATGCTGGGATTAAATTAGTAAATGTTAAAGAAACAGCTGGCAGATCAAGAAAGAAAATTTATGGAGAGAGATAACAAGGGGGAAAATGGAAGAAAAGACAAGAAATAGGAGATGGAGGGACAGGAGGGGGAGGAAGAGGTGGGGGAGAAAAAAGGGAAAGAAAGGGAAATGGGTAGAACTGTGGAGTGGTTGCACCCTTTCAATCACAAGGTGAAGTGGGGGTCTTCAAGTGAGGTGGGCGTGGTCTGCACACGTCCGTGCCCTGTGGCTCCTGCCCAGAGTATTGGGTGAGAAGGGAGGCACAGGCAGGAAGGTCTCTGTGGCCATAAAGAGCCTAGCACACAGATTCTAGGGCAACCCCCCCATTCTCAGGGAGCCCCAACCTCAGCACCCGCCATCCCTGCCTGCAGGTCCACAGGTGAGGAGGAGGATCAAGGAGGAAGCAGAGTGGGCAGCTGAAGACCCCACAGCACAGAGAGCCCCGCTCAGTCTCTTTGGCTGCCTCCCCTCTCATTTCTGGGCTCCCACATTTCTCCGCCACCCCTCCCGTGTTCCTGCCAGGACCGGGCACCCTGGCCATCCCGAGACGTTTACAAAGTGCTGGTCCAGAACGGGGCCAGCAGTCCTTGGTGGCCTCTTGAGGAGTCAGAAGCTGCGTCCACCCTTTGAGCCTCCCCAGCAGGTGGGTTTGCGCCCATTTCCTGGGTGAGCATCTGAGGCCAAGGGAGGAGAAATACACGAGTGTCCTAGAGCTCTGACACCGGCGAGCACACACTGGCTCAGAGGGACTGAAACGAGGCCAGACACTCAGGTTCCTGGCAGGCCCTGGGCTTCCTCAGCTGGCAGCCGCACAGAGGCCCCGTCTCTGCCCCCTGTCACCGCCCTAGTGGCTGCCTCTGTCTCCCCTCGGGGGGCGGTAATCACATGGGGCCAGGGCCCCTGCTCCGGTAAAACCTCATTTGAGCTCATTACACCCCCTGCAGCTTGATTTCCGTGGAGGGTCACATCCTGAGCATGGGTTCTATAGCTCTGACACATCTCTTCTGGGGATCCGAGTGGCCATGACAGGAAGTGACTCACCCAGGCTTCACGGGGGCCACCAGAACCCCAGGCCGGGCTGTGAATCACAGCCTTGTGCGCCTCATCTTAAGACGACGCTGACGCCAGATTCCCCTCACAGGTCAGTGCGGAGCGGGATCGCAGGTGCCAGGGGCACCACCCCCACCCAGCACTGTGGGCAGCACTCGGACAAATTCCCACCCCCTCCACTGTAGCCCACCACCCTGCAGAGGGTGTGAGGTGTGAGGTGGGGAGGAACAAGAATCTCCCAGAGTGCAGAGAGTCCCCGGGAGGGGAGGAGGGGGCTTCCCCAGAGCACGGCTGTGGGGATCCTGCCCCGGGTCGACAGCCAGCACCCAGCCCTCTGAAAGTGAGAGTACCACAGGGCAGGGCCGTGGGATGGGGAGCTGGGGACAAGCCTGCCTCTGCCTCCCTCAGGAGGGACCAGGCAGAGAAGCTGTGACCGCGAGGACTTGGCATGGGCTGCAGTGAGGTCTCCCAGGAGAAGGAGGAGGAGGGATTGGGGCTGTAGACATTGCTCAGCACCCCAGACCTCCTCTGCCCTCCTCCTTTACCCCGCATGCTCACCCCACCCCAAAAGGAAGCAGTCCGGGGGCAGCAGGGCAGGACACGACGCCTGTCAGAGCCATGCCCCTTCCAGGGAACAACCACGGGTCTGGAGTCACTGTGTGAGGCATGCTAGCCGCTGCCCACAGCACCTCGGAAAAGCTGGCCCTCACTGGGAAGGGACACTCACCTGTCATCCCGCTGCTTGGGGAGGCTGAGGCAGGAGCATCACAAGTTTGAGTCCAGCTTACCCAATGTAGCAACTTTGGAGATACCGTGTGAAAATAAAAAGTAGGAAAAGGGCTGGGGAAATGTAGAGGCTCTGGTGCAATCCATAGGTGGGGGGAAGAGAGACAGAGAGAGAGAGGGATTAGATTTCTCTGGAGCAGAACATCAGGCCTGCAGGTGGAGGATGGCCCAGACCCTGTGTCTGAGAGAGGCCGGCCCAACAGCCCACTGGGCTTCAGTTCCTCCTCTCCCTCGTGGGCAGGGAGCCTGAGGGAGGCAGCAGAGGCCACCCAGCAGCAGGCAGGGCCCAGTCACCCACTCAGCTGGCCCGAGAGTGTCACTCTGAGACTGGGGACAGCGCCTGGCCGGATGAGACAAAGGCGCTGATCCAGACTCCCCGCCCGCGGGAGGATCTCACAGCGGCAGGGGAGAACTGAAGCCTTCGGGCAGTTGCCCCCACTGCCGGGATTGGGGACCCCTTTCCGCCCCAGGGTCTATACCCTCCGCGACGCAGCCCTCATTCAGCCCTTCTCCCACCCCCGGCTTAGACCTCTCCCGCTGGGCACTGTCCCCTGAAGCCCTCTCAGGCTGCAGAAGCTGGGCCTGGAGTGGGCAGCGGCTGAGGTGGGAACCTTTACCCTGCTTCCTCTTCAGTCAGGAAAGGGATCGGAAGGGACCCTGGGCCTGCCGGCCTCAGCAGGACATCCCAGAGCCACAGTCACTGCCCACGGCCACTCAGGGCTCCATGGACAGGTGCGCAGCGTGGCCCCGAGCAGGGTTTAGGGCTCTGCTGTCACTGTAGGCGGCAGTGAGGGTCCCTGCCTTTTATTCTGCACTGGGGCCCCTGCGAAGCACATGGCCAGCCCTGCATGCAGCCAAGTCTGTGGTAGCAACAGGGAGCTGGGGGCACCGGGCCACGCTGCACCACGGTGTCCCCTACACTTCAGGGGCCCCCCAAAGCTGTAAGCCACTGATTTCATCCACACTTGGGGCCAGTTCCGAGGCCTCTGGGCACACTGGGGCCACCTGCTCTGTAACTTCTTCCCCGTTCATCTGGGGAAGTGGGGATTGTGTGGTTCTGGCAGGTGCATGGAGCCCCGCACCAGGGAGAGGTCTGAGACTGACCTACACGGTGAGGGGCGGAGCCCTTTACAACAGGCAAGAACCTGGCATGGTGGTGCACGCCTGTAATCCCAGCACTCGGGAGGCTGAGGCAGGAGGATCGCCTTGAGTTCAAGGCCAGCCTGGACTAGCCAGTGAGACTCTGTCTCAAAAAAAAAAAAAAAAAAAA